ATATAACGTCACTCAATAAGTCCGTAAGATAATACATAGATAATGTAGCTATGTAATCATCCATATGATGTGTAGGAAGCAACAACTTTAAGAAGATATATGTCAAAATTTCATGACAATCCGACGATTAGTTTACAAGTTATAGAGGTTCAAGTGACGCTACTTTTGAGTTTTTCGAAACCATGAATTCAAAGAAATTTCGTGAGTTGATTTATTATTGATATTTGATGGGTAAAAATACCATTGCTGCCAAAGTATCGCTTGATAAGTGTTATCTGGACTGTTCTAAATCGCGGTAGATGGTGAAAAAGTGGTTTGCTGATATTAATCGTGGCCGTACAGACACTGACTATGCTGAACGCTCTGGAAGGCCAACTGAGGTGGTTACACCGGACAATATAAAAAAGTCCACCGAAACGTTTTGGAAAATCGCCTGAGATAGCTAACACCCTACAGATATCAATAGAACTTGAAGGACATATCGTTCACGAATATTTGAATAGGAAAAACCTTTGTGCTAAATGGGTGCCGCGCAAACTCACATTTGACCAAAAGCACAACGAGTTGGTGATTCGTAAAAGTATTTCGAGCTGTTCAATCGAAATAAAACTGAGTTTTCTGCATCAATATCCATGTCACCACGGATATGACCTGGCTTCAACACTACACTCCGAAGTCGAATAGACAGACTGCCGAGTGAACTAGACACAATGGGGAGAAAAAATGCAAAAGATCATGGCGTCAGTTTTTTGTGATACGCAAAAAATGATATTTATCTTGAAAAAAGCCAGACCATCAACAATGACTATTGTATAACGTTATTGGAACATTTGCAGATCAGAACCGGAAAAACGGCTCCATTTGAAAAAGAAAACCGTGCTGCTCTATCAGGACAACGCACCAAGTCACAAATATCCGTGAAAACAGTGGCCAAAAAAAGTGAACTAGGCTCCAAATTGCTTCCCCACTCACTATATTCTCTAGATCTGTTCCCCAGCGACCATATCCTGTTCTCAGATCTTAAAAGGATACCTCTTAAAAAATATGTGCCAAATGATGAGATGATGGCCTAATATTGTGGCTAAGTACAAATCGTACTACAAAAATGGTGTCAAAAAGTGCGAAGTTTGTTATAATATCGTATTTGAAGAAAATTATATTGAATAAAAAAATTTACCAAAAAAATGAGTTTTTGTTAGTAATCCTACGGACTTATTGAGTGAAGTGATAAATATACATAAAAACATTTTACATACAATTATCTCCTAACTGAGTTCAAAAAGGTATATGAATCTCACCTCGTGCAAATTATTTCCTTTGCTTCCAACAATTTTAACAATGGATTGATCTTCTTTTGGAGGTTCCCAGTCTATTTCCAAAGCTTCATTTTGGACATGCTTTCGTCTTGTAGCTCGCGACATTTGAAATTCTGTAGTCAAATTAGAGGAAACCAAACATTAAGTCATCCTGCATTGTTATAATAATTCAATATCCACTCTACTAAATACAATTTAAGTTTTATATAGATAAATTTATATATATATATATATATATATATATATATATATATATATATATATATATATATATATATATATATATATGAGGACATATTGCCCCACAGACAATACGAGAATGCTTATCCGTTAACCATTAAAACCGAATTCAACTTCAGTTCGTTCATTAAGTTTTTTATTAAAAATATTAGTTAAGCATGTATTGCTTTTTGTTAAGTTTAAAATTTTTCAAGCTATTATTAGTGCTGTAAGTTTTTGTTTTTGGCCTAGTTTGATAGGCTGAATGATGACACACATCAAGTGTTGAAATGTGTAATGAATAAAAATGTTTTCCTTCTAGCCATTTTTTAATTTATCGAGTTGACTGCAAATTATTTCAAATGTATATATATAGATATATATATATATATGTATATATATATATATATATATTTATATATACCATATATGAAATATCTTTTCATTTCCTTTTCAAACATTGTTTGATTATGTATAGATCTCATTACGTATAGATCAAAAATAATAAATAGTCAAAATTTAAAAAAAAATCATTTATAAGTGCACTTGTAATCCTCCAGCTGATTCAGAAAGACTTTCATAACCAGAATAATAAACAGTCTAAAAGTCTTTATATCTTTTGTTTATTTATTACAATAATTCTTCTATTTTTGTTTAACGCTTTTTTAGTAATTTTATTCTCAATTGCAGTAGATGCATTTTTAGACTTTTTCAATTTCTCTTCTTCAGCCTTTTTAAGTGCAGATATTATATCCAATGATTCGCCAGGAGAAATTCCATAGGCTGCTTGCAATCCCCGAGGATTGGAAGGAGTCACACAATCAGCTGTAGCTTCCTTGCGGAGAACTTTGTCGACTTCGACAGATGAGAAAAAAGCCACTGATTGCGGAAGATCATTGAGTCCCAATCTGAAACATCATTAAATTTTGTGAAATGATCGGTTTGTCATTGTAATTAGCATTTAGGACTTGGGACTTCGTTAGAGAAATGAAGTAATTGCTGATTATAAATTCTATAATATTCGTTCATACAATGGATTATGTAAAACAAAACCTAAAGAAATATTGTTTTCACAATTTCACTCATCATGTAATAATTGTGTTTGAAAAACTTCATGTAATTAAAATTAATATACATTCATTAACTGGTTGTAATTTGTTTTATTTTTTCGCTGCCGATTTAATCTCATTCTTTGAGCAGCTATAAAATCTTGTGTCTTTCTTTTAATAACTTCAAAGATTTATAGAAGCTATGAATAATATAGAAATTATTTCAATAAACTTACGTTTAGTACACGGAACAAATGTTCTATTAATTTTATTATTTTTATTATAATTATTTATGGGAAACAGACAAAATTTTCTTCTGATTCAGGAATTTTTTATCGAATCAAGATTTGTACTACGATGCAACCTTAAAATATTTATTTAACTATGCCAATTTCCTTGTTGATATATCGGTACGCATACCATAAATAAATAAGCATAAAATGACGCATACAACGTGATTTCGGTACGCATACGACGACAGATCTCTATTCACATACATGACGACTAATCACAATCGACCTGTATTGAAATGATTTCATCGAGAGTGAATGACGTACATTCGGGCGTAACGCAATATCCGTTGCATTCTCTCACATTTCACTGCTCCAGTCAGATCACACAGAAGTAACTCAACACAGAATATAAAAAAAATCATAATTTGAGGAAGATGCGCTCTA